GGTTAGAGGGGAACGAAATGGTTCGGAGTCTCCGGACGAACGATTGCGCACAAACTCGAACGACGCAATTTCAATGTAGGATTGGAAATTTGCCAGAGGCTGGTTCTAGCATGTCCAGGAGAAACCAGATCGCACCGGAAATTCCTATGAAAGACAATGCATCACAAGCACGTGTTCAATTAACAATTAAAAAACCCCACAGTTTAGGTATTACCGACAAAGACAGGGGACTCTAGGATGGCCATTTCTGGCTTATTAGCCGTCGTCAGATAGAGACAAAATATGTTACTGAAACTTAGTAAATAACATTGCAATTAGTCGCTTGTTAAACACACTTGGACGTGTCCAAGCTTGCAATTGCAGCGACCAGGATGGGTACGTCCTGAAACGGATCGGTGTACGACTATCTACTACTGTATATTCCCGATCTAAAACCGACAAGACGGCGGACCCGTAGCTCAATGGTTAGGGCGTTTGATTCTGATTAGAGAGGTCGCAGGTTCGAAATTCGAGTGTGGCAGAAATTTCAGCTGCAACACTGGAGTTGGGTGTCTCTAGCTGACGACGGCTAAGGAGGCAGAAATGGCCATCCTAGAGTCTTTGTCGGTAATACCGAATCATAAAATATGTTAATGAAACTTAGTAATTAACATTACAATGAGTCGCCTTAGGAAACATACTTGGACATGTCAAAGCTTGCAATAGCATCAATTGGGATGGGTGGGTCCTGACACTGATCGGTGAATGACTATCTACTACTAAACCCCAAAGTGTCTAGTTTCCTTGAATTTCAACAAATATATCTTGTAAACGGTTAGTCCAAGACTTCGAACCGAAAATTCTTTCCTAAAAGTTGATAACACCTTGGCAGAACGCAATATGAAAAAATGACCCCCAGACAATATCCGAACTACTCAAACGTCTGACAGAGGAGTTATGGGTCCCTAAAAACGCAGTTTTACATACGCAGCTGAGTCAAAGCGAAGGGCGGCTTGTGTGTCTGTTTGAATGAATAACGAAAACTATTTCTGAATGTTCGCAGGCATTCGGGGGGATTTTGATTGAATTACGATCAATAAAAATGTGCTCATAGAGGGACCGGGTATATAAAACAATCTAATGATGCAGGAAGATGCAACTCTTAAAACGTACCTTCAAACAGTGAAAGAGGGCGATCCGGGGTCCGTTCAGCATGGTTGAAGTAATCGGTGCACCATTCAGCAAACTAAAAAGAGAAATAAAGCCTGGTTGGATAATGCCATATACGCACAAAACGGAATAAGCACGATGGATATTTGCGCACGGTTTGTATTCAGAGTTTAGTGGCTACTGATAACGTACAAGTAGGTTTGATATTGTATTCTAAAATTATAATCCGGCTATCCAATGAAAATGCAAGTGACTAATGCAAGGGAACACACCGCAGCAGCTTGTTGAAGATATTCCGATTTATGTGTGTGTTGATAGAGACTAAGGAGAGCATATCCGTTGCCAGCGGAACCATGGCAGAGGCCACAGCCTTTTCTGAGGAGACCACGTTTCCAAACCTCCCTGCCACCTTTCTCTGCCTTTTCCAGATAAGTTGCGTCCGAGGTAATCTGCAAAAGTAAAATGAAAGATAGTACTCGAGTTAGCGCATGCCTCAGCATAATGTGGTCATGTTCAATTTTGCTGACACCCTTTCTTAGTGGACTTCCCACTGCAAGTTCACCAATTCTTCTATAGAGTCGTCTATTAGAGAGAAATT